CTTAAAGAAATGGGAGTGCCTGATCACCTTATCTACCTCCTGAAAAATCTATATGTGGGACAGGAAGCAACAGTTAGAACTGGATATGGAACAACTGATTGGTTCAAAATTGGGAAATGAGTACGACAAGGCTGTATATTATCTCCCTACTTATTTAACTTATATGCAGAATACATCATGCGAAAGGCTGGACTGGAGGAATCCCAAACCGGAATTAAGATTGCCGGAAGAAATATCAACAACTTCCGATATGCAGATGATACCATTCAGACGGCAGAAAGTGAGGAGGAATTAAAGAACCTCTTAATGATGGTGAAAAAGGAGAGTGCCAAAAATGGTCTGAAACTCAACATCAAAAAAACTAAGATCATCCCATCACCTCCTGAGAAGATATGGGGACAGTGACAGATTTTACTTTCTCAGGCTCCATGATCACTGCAGATGGAGATAACAGCCACAAAATTAAAAGACGCTTGCTTCTTGGGAGGAAAGCAATGAAAAACCGAGACAGCATCTTAAAAAGCAGAGACATCACCTTGCCGACAAAGGTCCACATAGTCAAAGCTGTGATTTTTCCAGTTGTGATGTACGGAAGTGAGAGCTGGACCATAAAGAAAGCTGACCACTGAAGAATTGATGCTTTTAAATTGTGGTGCTGGAGGAGACTCTTAAATGTCCCCTGGACTGCAAGAACCTTCAATTCTGAAGGAAATCAACCCTGGAAATCAACCTTGAGTGCTCACCCGAAGGGCATATTCTGAAACTGAGGCTTCAATACTTTGGTCATCTCATGAGAAGACTTCCTGGGGAAGTGTGAAAGCAAGAGAAGGATGACAGAGGATGAGATGGTTGGACAGCATCATCAAAACTACCAACATGAATTTGACCAAGCTCTGGGAGGCAGTGGAAGACAGGCGGGCCGCGCGTGCTCTGGTGCATGGGGTCATGAAAAATTGGACATGACTTAAGGACTAAACAGGAACAAATCATCTATGGGCCGATGGCACTCAGTTCTTACTTCTTATTGTTCTTAAGTTAGGTGTGAGGATAGATGTGATCAAATTATGTCTAGCATTTACAAGGGTCTTTATCCCAAATGGTGGCTCCATGGAACCTAGTCTGGGGAGAGGGTTGTGTTCCCTCTAAAATGATCATGTGCACAACACGGGATTCTTGGAGGTGCTTGTGTTTTTTGGGAGAGACTTCTGGTTTTCGTGGCACAAAACATCTTCCCCCAAATCCTGGACTGTGGATTGTGATATTTTGCTTGCTATGTATGCTATTTGGACCAATGCAATGTTGGGCTGAATATAATTTGGAACCTGGCATTACTAAAAATAAATAAATCAGCAGACTGTTTACTGAGACAGCATGGTATGACTAATCACTGCATAAGTATTTATGACTTTTTCAAGTTGTTACACTCTTTTAAAGTTATACTGTAAAAGTTTTATGAAGACATTCAAGGTATATCCAAGGCAGTCAGGATGAGTTGGCCATTGTGACCTTCATAGAAGGCCCTGCTATGGCACTCCTAAACCTCATGTTTTGTGTTTGTCTTTTAGTGGTCCATATGAATGCTAAGCATGTGATCTTTAAACCTAATTTTCCCGAAAGTATGGATCATATGGATAAAGGCTGCACACACTGAGAGGACTGAGATGGTCCCACAACGAGGTCCTTGCTTCCCACAAATATACTTAGAAAGTCTATGTACATATATATGGTTATAACTCTGGCCAGCATTACAAATATGTGTTTCATTGTGATTTTGGATTAAGAATTCATATTTTAGGGGAAACAATTCATCTAGTTGAATCTGACAACCTAGCTGACAATCTAGTTGACCTTCATAACCAAGCTGCAGTGCCAAGAAGCTCCCATGAGGACTCAAATTTGACTTTCATTTATTCTAGGGCAAACTCAAAAGGTTTTATTTTTTAGCAAATTCTATCATGTAAATGTTAACATAAAAACATCTGTACATTTGCCATGATACACTCAAAAGTGAAACAAATAAGATATAAATACAGATATGGATGTAACATGACAAAAGTGCCCAAAAGGAAAAAAAAACCCAAACAGAAATTAAATACATGCGTTGTGAATACTGTGCCAACAAACTTCTTTCTGATGGCTGACTCTTCTGAGAAGCTTTGTAAGCCTGTATTTCCCATTTAAAACATTATTACTATTAGCAAAGTCCTGCTGCATTCTACAAACATTTCTCTGTTGTCCTTTAATATGAACCATTACACTTGATAAATAAAGGGGGCTGGGAGGGTGGTAGAAAGAAGATTTATATGACAATGTTGCAAGTTCTATTACTTATACAGGTTATTGAGAAGCTAGTAGGAAGCGATAGAAAAGTCTTGTGTTGTATTGTAATCCAGGCAAGCACACATAGTGTACCTTTTAAAAGAAAGCCACATGCCTCAGTTGATTCAGCACTACTTAGTAAGAGACCTACAGTACTTCAGATGGTGGAAAGGGATTGCATTGCTTTGTTTCCATATGTGCCCCAGGAACACTGGTGCCCCACCGGCGTCATGGATGTCACCCTCTAAGGCAACCCAAACAGCAGGCAGGGTTGTTCTGTGCGAATTTGCAGATATCAAGGTTGGGAGGGGAGGGGGACATGAGAAGATGGAAGAGAGCGCAAAGAAAAGAAACCTCTCTCTTTCCTAACGTCTGACAAAGTTAAAAGCCCTGCATCAGGAGGCAGCCAGGGACAAGGCAGCTGCAGACACTGGGACAGTGCTGGGAAAAAGAGGAAGGCCTCCTCAATCTGGCAGCTAAGCGCTGACAACATGCAGATTGATCTCCATCAGCATATATGCATCGGTAGCCAAGAAGTCCTGGTACCTGGAATATGTACTAAACACCCCACATACTCCTGATTGTACAGGTTTAAAGAAAATAAGTTGGTGCAGATTGAGCTAGCCCTTTGAGTACTACCTAAAGAAACAGGGTCATATCTGAAGTATTAAGAGAGACGGGAACTAATTTGCTATATACATTAGACACAAAACAAGTTTATAAATAATCCAGATTGCATGGTAGTTGGGTAGACGTAACATACTCCTGGAGTACTCAAAGGGTCGGGGACTCTTGATGAGAGGGATGGGTGTTAACAGAACAAGTGTCACACTAAGGAGCATCTGTTGACATGACAAACAAAAGCAATATTTTATTAAGAAAGAAAGGCCTGGTTAAATGAGTTGCAGCTCCCAGAAAGCCAAACAAGCTTTGAAAAGCAAAAAATCTCTTTCTGAGGGTTGAAGCAGTAGTAAACAGCAAATTTCACATATATTTCTGAGGAGAAGGGCTGTCAGTTCTTCTGATAGTGACAGTGTAGATGTTTGGCCAGTTCAGAGACAGTACAGTGTATTCACTCTCAGTGCATACTTACCTATTCAGTTAGATAAAATTCTTAAAGACAGAATTCAGTTCCCAGTAACTACTGTAACAGAACAGAGTTCCATTAAAAAAAAATCAAAAACAAAAGGCGGAGCAGGACCAAGATGTGCCATGTGGGCAGAACTTCAACTACAGCAAAAATGGAGAATACATTATAAAATTTTGCGAAACATTTTTGGCAATTTTCAAAAATATAGAAAAAGTGCTAAAACATGACAAGGAAAAACAGATTATTGGAAGGTCTATATAGAGGCAGGTCTTAAATTAGTTATACTAAAACAACTGTGTACTGTCCTATATAAACAGCACCACTTCAAATTGGCTGAGGGCTCCTGGAGAATTCCAATGACCTTGTGTCATTCAGATAATGATATTATACCTTTAAAAAAGCATTCGCCATCACCACTCAATTAAGGGGTCTGATATTGTAACCTACACAGGTTTCTCCTGAAGAAGAAAAAATGTCAGATCATTCAAAATTTTGAACTCAGGCATAAAAGAAATTAGGGAACTAATCAAAGGTTTGATTATAAATGCAGTGTAATATAAAGCCAAAGTCTCATCAATTCTGTAGAAATTGCTTTGATTAAAACATGGATGTAGCTTTGGAACCTTTTCAAGTTTTAGAAATGACTACCTTGTGGATGATTGAGATGCGTTTCAACTCTAGTATTCTACTGCCCTTTTTTTTTTCAAATGAAGGCTGCAACCCAGGCCTTGCTTCCTTTACATTCAATACCAAGAATATCCTACAATAAACAGCTTTAAAAGGACTAAAAATACTGATTGCAATAAATATCTGCATGGCCTCCATCAGCAGATGAAGTGTGCCAATGAGGGGAGGGTCTCTGAGAGGCACAGCTGATTGCTTCTATGTCTGCAGGTATGTCCAAAGGTCTCCATTAACTATGTGTGGAAACATCTGAAGATGAGCTGCTGTTGCTGTTCGTAGTCTGGGCCCTCTTTATGTACAAGTTCAGGAGCTTCATCTGAAAGGGGAGGAAAAGGAGTCATAACCATGCACTTCATTCATTTCCTTCTTTACAGAGGAGAGTACTCATTAGTTCTTCATAGCTGGCACCACTTTAGGAAACTGCAGACATGCAACTCACCTCTGGATCTCTGACTTAATATTTCAGGATTGCATACCAGTTCAGGATTGTATTCATTGTATTAGTTTTGCTGAAGTGCTCAGGAAAGTTGCTTTTAGGGCTCCCAGAATCCTTTCGCTGTGATGGCTAGGGGCTCTGCAATCCCCAAATCTAAAATTTCTAACCTCTGCTTGGATGGGTAGCATGTTACAGTCAATGAACATATTGGGACTTATTCTGGTATATTTTTACAATATAAAACTTACATTAAAATAACACTAAGGTCATTCCCCTTAAGGAAGAAGTTCAGAAACCAGCTCTGCAGAATGATCCAAATATTTTGTTCCAAATCTCAGCTGTAATTCTCACAATTAGTAATCTGTGGGCAACATGGCTACACATTTCACCCTTGTTCTCTCAGATACTGCTGTATCTTCTTGCTTACTCTCTTTCAATCAAATCAATGTCAAGAGCCATAACTCTGGACTTGGAGATTCATACAGTCAGGCTAACATGAACAAAACTTAGTGATGGTTCTCAGATTCAAAATGAAGGCACCCGTAATAAAAACTTCCTCCCAAGGCTATCACAAGCCAAGCCCAAATTTCAAGCTCATTAATTCACCTGGACATCATCACATATTGCCACTATAGCCCTTTCCCCCAACATCTACCTGGCAGTGGCTGTGGAAACAAAGAAGTCTATCTATTTTCCAACATTCTTGGTTCATCCATCCATCCCATCCATCCAATGTAAAAATATCTTCAATTAGGCAATTCTGATCACCTTCTTTTAACCTTTCCTCTCCCGATCCAGGAACTGTATTGAATATTAATGGCAACAGTTCCCAGTGGGTCTGACATTATGTGTGCAACATGCCTATACTTATTTAGAGCTCCCAAAAGTGGCTGTGATGGAGCCGAAGCCATGTAAAGTCACGTAGCTGGGAACGCTTCTGCAAGCTAACTCAAGTAGTTAGTTGAGATATTATCAGAAAAGGTCATGCATACTTCAGTAACCAATTGTATATGGAAGTGAGGTGTTCCTGAATACGTGCAAAGCTACTTTGCTGGTTGGGAGCTACAGCTCTAAAAATGCCCAGTGGTTATCCTGAACATTACAATAACCCATATGTATACTGTTCAAGTTTCAAGCAGATTCTCTATAATTTTTCTCAGCTTCTTTTTATAAGTCTGCCATGTATGAAAACTTTGCAAGCCTCCCTTTCAATGGCACAAGTGCTCTCTGGCCTGTCACTGATTTCAAGATAATCTCACATTCAGCAGCAATCTATGTTTCAAAAGTTACATAATTAAAAAGAGAAACATTCAAACATTCCAAGAGGAGACATCTGGCCCGATCTGAAAACATACCTTACTCCCAGTGAGCTGTGCAAGGTGAGGCTTTAGTTCTTCACCAATAACTGAATATATTGCCACAAGGCAAAATACACTGGCTTTTCGAACACTGCTTTCTGTGTTGTCGTAGCCCTAGACACAAAAAACGAAGAGTCATGTGAATCAAGGCTTCTTTGTAAGACCTCTTCCAATAATTGGGGTAGAAGGAATGAGTGGGACAGGTACATACATCCCATTCAAACAGGAGATGTGTGAAAGCTCTAAGAACTGCTATATTACTGCAGTAAGATCTATACCTGTCCAAAGGTACCCACCTGGAAGTGGGTACTGGAAATATGAAAATCCTACCTGGTGGAATCTTCAGTACATTGTGGAACTAAAATAAACAAAGGTTAACTGCCTTAAGAACAAGAGTATAATCTCTGTAAATAAAGGCCTCAACATAATTTGCTATTCATATATTTATAAAAGTGTCATGTTAGAAGACACAGATGTTAGCATCTGCAAGGTAAACCCTCTGGCCAAAGTTCCATTGCAATTTATACTGGTATAAGTAAAATCATGTAAATTGGGTGGCCAAGTGCAGCTGATGGATAAGGTGCCGGTTGCAAGCCAATCATATGACTGGGGGTGTGCAGGCATGTAACTGGCACCTCATCCTGGATTTGGACAACAGCTCTCCATCTTTGTTCAGGAATCCTGTCATCCAGATTGAGCACAGTGAGTTCTACAGATTGCCTTAATCACTAAAAAACACTTGCCTTTAGTTTACCACCAGACAACAAGCATGTGTTTAAATGGAACAATAGCTGCTGCCAAAAATGAGTTCATTGATAGCTTAGTGGTTTAGGTATCTGGCTGCAGAGCCCGGGACTGGAAGTTCAATTCCCCACTGTGGCTCCTTGACAGGACCTGCTCGATGATCCATAGGATCCCTTTCCAACTCTTCTTCTTCTTCTTCTTCTTCTTCTTCTTCTACTACTACTACTACTACTACTACTAAGCACAATAGTGTATTTACTCTGTTTAAAATCTAAAACATGTTGCTTAATTTAACATATGGAAGGTAAACTGCGAAACATCCAGTCACTTCTAGCTTGCAAATAACAAATCACCATTGAGATTTTGAGCATGCACACTGATTGGTTTGACAAGTGTTTGAAAATCCCAACAGAGACTCATTAATTGCCAGTTACATGTAACTGAATCTTATGCCATTTGCCTCCTACACGTGTAATTAAGAAAAGGATTTCAGCCAATCTGACTTTCTTCTCACTCTGTCTCTCCGATGATGGCTAGCATTCCCAGAGGCCTCCAGAAGAGATAGAAAATGAAATCAATAGCTCTACAAGCTAACAGCCAGGTTCTCTGATGCTCACAGGACCTAACTGGCAGAACATATAGTATCTGATAAAGTAAACCTCAGTCCATGAAAGCTTATGCCAAACAATACCTATCAGTCTCTAAGGCATTGCAAGACTCCTCAATATTTTTCAAGAGAACTGCATTTTCAATTGAGCTCCACAAGATCTAGGGCCATGGTGTATGCTCATAACCAAGGGTTGGGCAGCTGTCTGCTAGTTTAGAGTCGAGAAGCAGGTTGTTCAGCTTCACAAGGCAATGCTGAGGTAATGAATGCCCTGAAGGCCAAGTCATACTTGCCTGGGTCAGAGCAGGAATTCCTGTATTTGCATTTCTCAAAGAACATTCTCTTGGAACACAACTAAAACAAATCAAGAATCAACTCTTGACCAATAAAGCAGTCACTAATCCTAAAACACAATGATTAATGTGCAGACACTTTGCCTTGAAAAGTGCTGCAGAAATGCAAAATAGGATATAAAAAGGGGGAATCTAACAAAATGCTGAGGAGTGGTATTTCGACCAGTTAGACATACTCCCTTCCAGGACACTTACTTCCTTCTCCCCTACCACTAGTTTTCCATCCCCCACCGGTCAGTGAGCATGCTTAGTCTTCATTAGAGTGTTTGGTTTTGGGGGGGTTTCTCTCTCTGTGTGTAATATTTGTTTTCTGCTTGCCTGTGTCTCTCCCCCTTCCCCCAAATTATTCCTTCATATTTCTGAAAACTTTGGAGTCCTACCAAGCATACAGAACCTTTCCATTTCTTTTAGTCTTCAACCCTATCAGGCCCTGCCTCAAATTACCACCTAAACAAACCTCATATTTCAACAATTTAATGGTTGGGAACAATTCTGGTTTGGATTCTTATTTCTAGTGCCCAAGTGGCTCTTAATCACTGTAAGGCCCATTTCTTTAAATATGCAGCAGTGTTCTATTTTTTTCAGCTGCATTTGGTTACCTGGGTTTTCCAAGCGGAAAAAAATGGAACCTATGAGGAATAAAAGATTAAATATGCACATCCATTCCATGCTATGAAAAGAAGAACAATCCCCCAACGGGACCTAAAACACACAAAGAATGGAAGAATAAAGCCCTCCCTGAACTGCAGCCCTTTAAAATGTGAGGGGGGGTAGTTCCTTGACAACTTAAAAGATCCATTGTAGGAGGCTGACAGACATGCACTTTCAAGACTGGTTTCTTCAAATAAGTGAGAAAGAATGGCAGTAGTGGTTGTTAAAGTCAGGTGGCTTGATCTGAGGTACAGTGCTGGAAAAGGGAGCAGACAGTTCCAAGCAGCTACATAAAAAGGGAAAGGAAGTATTAAAGAGCAAAACATGGGTCAGGTATTATTCTGACCGAGGATGGGCAGGACACTGACAAGAAGGGTTTTGCTGGTTACTGCTGTATTGTGTTTAATTGTGAAGGCACAAGAGACCCTTGCCCAAGCAGTACAGTGGAAAGGCACTTAGCTTGCATAGATGTAGAAGTGCTGAAAAACGGAACAAAATTCACACAAACTACAACACTCAGAAAACTACACTATACACTGTATTCATGATGCCAACAGAAATTACATATCCCAAGAAACCAGGTTTTGTGTCGTAAGAACTGGGGAAAATGCAATATTCCTTCCACAGAAGTGAAACCTTACAGAAATATATTGGCTTGTACACAAGACCTGAGTAACAGCTATGTAATTACTGCCCTGAAGATGATATCTGAAAAGGCTCTAGTGAAAAGGGACATGGAGTTTCTGGTTTGCTTGTGCCCTGGGCTCTGAGTGACCTCTGCTGGGGGAATGCTACAAATATTCATGAAGCAAGGTGAGGACAGGCTTGCTCTTCCCAAACAAGATATTGTAATCTGTGGCCTTCAACCCTATGGTTATTCTCAGCCTTTCAGTATTCTCTCATAATTTTAGTTACTGTAGTATTGCGGCTGGAAAAAAAAAGGCAAACTGGCCTTATAGCTAGGTAGAACAGGCTGCCCGTGTGAGAACAGGACAAAGTTCTCTATAAATCATTATATCTTATGACATGATGATTTGTGTGACTTATATTACCTTGTGCTTCTCTTATGCTATTTTTTTAACTTATAGTTTTTTAAAATTCTATGAATGATGACAACATGGCATTTTTAACCTACCAAGAAGAACATACTTGAGTCACACTGTAAACATTTCTGAAGGTATCTTAACCATGTTTGTTAAGAGTCATTCAAAGGTCAGTGGTGGTTGACAAGTACACTCAAGTATAGGTAGAAAGAAAAACAAATGTAAGGTGGGAAAAGGTCTTTAGTCCAGTATCATGAAAGATTATGCCCACAGTTCTGATAGATTTAGTAGTAGTCATCAAAAGGGTGTCTATGAAGGCTATGTTCTATGCATCTAAAAAAGCAGCTACAGTCCACAAAAGCTTACACCAATTAAACTGGTTCATCTTCTTGTTGATTTTTAAAAGTGCAATACAGTCCAATAACTCCTGCAGACCCTGGTGTGTGTGCATATCACTATCTCATAGAGACACGGAGAAAGAAAGCTGTTAGGAAACTTGCAGATGCTTCTCTTCCTTTTCTCGGATCCCGTCCACTCAGGGGAAATGGTCTCCATCAGTTCTCTGCCTGCTTCTCCCTGTTGTCAAAACTGTGTTTTGGCAATTGCACTTACTCTTCAGGACTTGCAGTACTGAGGGGGGTTTTGTCTTCAGAAATGAACACGGTTACATGAATCAACCAGGAATAAATAGCCACAAAGCATGATTGTCACACCTCGCCAGATGTGAGAGCTTTATGCATCTCTTGACTATCTCTGGTGAGATTTTATGGAGACTCACACTGAACCATACTGAAGTAACTTCATTTATTTCCCCTCCCACCTAAAAGAAGAATTATGGAGGGGAGAGGGGCCGCACTTTCCCAACCAACATTTTTACCAAACAAGTGATTAGGCAAACCGAGTAGCATGTCTAAGACAAGCCGCCTTTCCTAAGATGTTCATATGTTTCCAACATTTTAAAACAAAGTTTGCAACATTTTGTACAGCAGTTTCCACAATCTGATAAAAAAAAAAACTGTTTCAGTCTCCTTTAGAAAGCTGGGATTCTCCTCAAGACAGATAGCACACAATTGCTGCTCAGACACTCTTTGCAAATCTGAGGACTTTTTCTTAAGAGCAATGTGAAGACTGACAAGAACAACTGATTGAATGACATTCGGTGGAAGGGAGGACACCTGTTAATCCATTGCAGCAATATCCGTGGAAAGCCTAATAGAAGACCAACAGATTTTCATAAGCTTTTGCACCAAAGCCCACTCCATCAAGTGTTGATTGATAGAACAGCTGTTTCTATGGAAAGAGTAGCTTGACCAAAATACCAATGATATGGAAATATGCATAAAGAAGGTTAAGTGGCTGGTGGCTATTTTATATGGGGAAAAGCAGCTTCAGGAGACTGAGTTTTGGATGGAATAGCAGCAAGGAGCATATGTTTTTAGACCCAACAAAAATTTATGTTCAGAACTGTCTTCTTGTGAGGTTCTAGATTGCAAAACAGCCATTTGTCTGCCTGTCATTCCAAGCTATTTCTATAATACAATTTTCACCTTCAGCCTGGGAAAGGAACTGCAAAATCTCAAAGGTAACAGTGCTTTGCTTTACAAAATGTTGAGTTGTATGTAGTAAATCATTCCAAAAGACTAGGAACTCAGCACGTGTGACAAGCCAAGTTGTAGAAGCTGCCAGTTTTCAAGTAAGCAGCTAAGTGGGAGGTGA